TTAATTTGGGGCCTATGGATTAACTATCTTATATTAAGAAGAGTCAGCAGTCTGTTTTTACTGTTTAAACTTTCAATAATTTTAATTAGTTTCTACCAGCGCAAGCTTATTGTTATGTGAACTGGCCATTGCCGAATTAAAAGTATACTATCTTATGTCACAACAATTACAATAAAATTTTAAATAATTTTAATTTGCGTATGAACTATCAATGCAACAGCGACTACGCATTCAAAATAGTTATGATTGAAGACATTGTGATTATTAACTGGGAAGTACTTACTATAACCAGAAAGTGGATCAAAGACTACAGCGGTTGCGAATCAGCTGACTACTATTAGCGGCCGGAATGAAATTTAAAATGTGCAGAATGGGCGCAAATAATTTTGGGGATATATATGAGCGAAGTTCAACTGGTGGCTGTTCAGGTAAAAACTAAAAGAATTTCTTAGAAAACTGCTCAAAAAACAAAACCTTTTTGGAGTAAAAATTTCACATTTTTAATGTCCAAGGTTCTTTTCAGTCTGCGCATCGGAAATACTTAAATGTACACATAAAAATTGTGAAATCATGGATAGCTGAGAGCCTGAGAGTAGTTATTTGTCAGTGGGGTATAAACGAAGCTTGGATTAATTGTCCTTTTGTCATTACTGTATTTGACGGTGAAATTGAATTATTTTACGCTTCATTTTTTTGCAACAATCAGTTTTTGCAGTAATGAAAATGATTTCACAGTTTTGTAGTAAGTATTCCAACGTTGACTTAATCCGCGCAGTTTGCGCGGGGTGTACTAGTTAATCGGACATACTGTACATAGCTGGTATTTCATGATTGTGTTAGAGCAAATTTGTAATGTCCAAAATTACCCCAAAGCCCAAATCAATGAAATCAGATCGGGAAAGAACTGAAAAATAAATGTGAACAGCAACAAATATTGATCAGAAAGTGTGAAAATGTTGGCATAATTAGATACTCCTCACTTTTTACGGATAGGCGCAATTTATGGTTTTGCCTTAAACCCGGTCGCCGGTAACGGCCGGTTTAATCCAATTATCCGCGCGATTGAATCCGAATCAACAGTCCGTTAAAAGTACGAGAATTTTATCTCGACGTTCTATGAATCTCATCCAGATTAGCAGAAAGCGCCTGGGTTGGTCGACTCGATTCTCCAATTGTTCCTGTGGAGCGGAGCGGTTTATAAGTTAGTAAGTTATTTATTAATGCTGGATGAATATTCAGCATTCCGCTTACTGCCGCGCAAATATTTAACTGGGTAGGTATTGTTTATTTACAAGAATACCTTGAAATGACACAGTGGTGGTATGCGCATCTTGTGGCAATGGTCGCAGAGAGCGATCTGAGATTTTCGATTCCGAGTTAACCATTGGTGATATCCGCTTTTGTGATAAATTTTAGTTAGCATGACGTGTAACCTAGAGGGAGACAGCAGTCTTCAAGTAAAGTATACTCGATTTTTATTGATTTGGAGTCTAGTGCAAAAAAACTTTTTTTAGCGCCTGAACGTTTAAATTTTAAAACCACAAACCATAGGTTAGTTATTTTTAGCAGTTAAACTGAAAGGGGTGACTAGCACCCGGTTTTGTTATGGACAACGCTACACTTGACATTTATTCGTCCGCACCATCCTTTCGCGTATCCGACAACCATGATGTGAACATGCTCAATGAAAGTCATGTAAGATAGAGAGGAAGGTTTTCTGTCCAATGCAACGAGTACAGACTGTACATTGTCACCTTGTTTTTATACGATCCGTCAAGTGCACAATGCGTACCTTGCTTGTCGAGCTGCATATTTTTGCCTGCTAATCCTGTGCGCCGTGGGCAATGCGCCCAATCTGGTGGTTCTCCTGCGCACTCAGTGACGGAAATGGTTACCCCTTATTTTAGTCTGTTCTTTGTAAATCCCTTGTATTTACTTTATCCTTTTAATGGATTAAATTGGTTAACAAAAAAAGCTAAGGTGAAGCACAAGCTTGCCCGGTAATTTCCTCCGTAAAGGTGCTGCTAGCACGAAGTTGCGCTAAAAGCGATGACCACTTCACTACGTTTATCGCGATGCCTAAATGCGCTCCGCAGTTAAATTGCCAGTTACTGCGCCAACTTACGAGAAACGGCGGCACAGATAAAAATATGCTGAAATGCAAAGCCAGTGGGCGGCAAAGGTGAATGTAGGCCGCCCCAAATAAATCAGTAAATACTTCCTCAGTAAATATCCTAAAAACAGAACAGCAGGGAGTAGTTGCGCATTAATAGTTAATAGTCAGCAACCTCTAGGGCTATCGATGAAACTGGATATTCTTCGATTTACAGATGAGTGCGGAAATGCTCAGTTTTCCGTCGCCAGTTCGTTCCATGGAATTGCGCGGGGCCTATCGCCCACGACAACATCATCATCCCGGCATGGAACCAGGTTCATCCTGTTGAGCAGTACACAAATGATTTGCCGCTGCCTTGCACCCCCTTCTTATCCCAATAGTAGGCCGTAACAAATCCAGGTCGGACGCTTTGACAAAGTAATATACAGTATCTGAAGCAACGGCTGATCACCACCTGGTTTAAATTTTTTTCCTAATAAAGCAAGTGCAAATGTTTTGCCATAAGTTCTTAATTATGAAGTTGTGTTCTGTGCCAATTCACCTTGAAGCAATAACCCGACACCGAACTTAAAATGGAAAATGTTACAGATGTTATTTCTTTGTCCACATCATTCTTCAGCGTAGCTAATAATACAGATTTAGGTGTGCTTAATGAAGATCATGCGGAGAATATCCATGGATTTGCCGCACCAAAGCATTACCTTTTTACGGACAGCCAAGTGCACGACGCGTACCTTGCGTGTCGAGCTGTATATTTTTGCCTGTTGATCTTCTGCACCGTGGGCAATGCGTCCAATCTGGTGGTTCTCATACGCAGTGCGCCGGCCTGGAAGACATCGGCATGCCATTATTTAATTGGCACGGCTGTTGCTGATTTAGCAGCACTGTAAGACATCAAACAATTACACGCTTGAGCGAGGTGTTTGCCAATTTGAAAATTCACTTTTAAGCGTTAAAGCGCACGTTAAAATCCATGACACAGTTCGTCGTATTCGACTGTAACCTTTCTGTATAGGGCAACTTGTCGATTTCTTTTGCAGGTGGCTCGGTCTATCCAAATTTTTGTCGGGTCAGCATTTAATAAATACTAACATCGGGTCAGCACACTCGCTCATTGTTCCATGGTTTTCCGATGCTTCGATGAGCTTATCCGACTGGTAAGATTCTCAGAATTGGAAACAGCGTAAAATGGACTCCACGGTTGCCCTTTTAGGATCCTGGTTGTGTTCTCCTGGGAGCGACTGCTTGTGATTATAAGCCCGTTCGGCTTTCGATCCCTCCAACGGGTTACCACGGCGCGCTTGATTATTGGTGTTCTCCTTATCTTTTCACTGGCATGCCACATGTTCAACTTTGTATACCATTACTTTCCTTTCCAACACGACTTCAGCAGCAATGTCGACGATACTCCTGCATGGTTCCCTACATGGCACAAGATAAACAAGATAGGACTGGTATGTAGCTGCCAAAAACAGAGAACGAACTGCCATTTTTATGTGAGGTGAAAGTGCCTAAGGTCTATAGATAATCTGCACAAGAAGTTTCGCCTAGAAAATGTTAATTGCTATGAATATCGCTGGGTGTAATGATCGGCTCTCTATAAAATGTAGCAGTTGTGTCATTCTTGCAGATTACTGTGCGCATCCTGACGTTTGGGCTAATCCTGATTCCTAATATACTTCTGATTATCTTCCTTTCTCGCCAACGACAATCGCAAGTGCCCAAGAGTTGCCGCTTGCAGATCAGAACTACCGATGAGGCGTTCGCGTCCACTTCTGACAACCAGCCTTTTTCTCAACATGCAGCCAACGTAATCTTGTTGAGTAGCGCGCTGCTCTATCTCATCTCGCACACTCCAAAGTTTGTAGACTTCTGTGTGCAGGTGCTACCGTATCGTCTCGACTTCGTATTCATACATGATTATACCTTGAAAAACTTCATGGAGCCGATTATCCTTGTAACAACATACATGGGTTATTCGCTGAATGTCTACGTGTATTTGACAACTGAACTCCAGTATCGCCGCCGTTTTGTGGAATTTGTCGTTCGTCCTGTGTTCGGCCCATGCTGCCCCAGCGTGTTAACAAAAGGAAACAATGAACAACGTACTGAATGTGTGGAGGTCACCGCGCTTATGTCAAAGGACACCGCACAACCATAACAGCGCTTGCTTCGTTTTTTTATGAGTCTAATGTTCGCTTAATAAACCGTTAATATTTTAAAAACAAGTTGAATTCATTGAAAATTCATTTTGGTAATGAACTACATGCAGTGTAAACATTTTCGCACCGCTTCCTTTTGAAACCATGGGACTATGGGGACCGCCGGCTATCGCGATTATTAATGAGCTAGGACAAAGACTTCAGCATCATACTGGAGAATTTCTGCGACAACGACTATCACTAGAAATTCAAAGGGGGAATGCGGCATCTGTACTCGGAACATTGGGCGAAGCGGATAAATTGAATGAGATTTATTTGTTAAAATTACGTGTTGGTTTTTTTCTCATATTATGTAAAAAATTTACTGTAGAAAATGCTCAGAAAAAAAATGAGTATACTCAATAAAGTTGATCATCGTGTTAACAACAAATCCAATAAAATGCATTGCCAGGTCTACGTTACTAAGCTAAGTATCATATCATAAATTCCAACAGATTGGGAATACTAAGACACTGTTATGACGGTAATGTTAATAAGGAAGTTTAGCGTTATCGATGGCGACATGGATCCAGGGTCCGCTGTGTGTACAAATTGCACAAGTTTGGAGACCCTTTAAAGCAGTCGATCGATCATAATAATGCATCTATTTTATAACAGAATACTTACATTTGTTTTGTATTTCTTTTAAGCTACGGCGATTATCTACATTTTTAACAAGCCTACAATCATTACAATAATATATTAAGCCGATGCCTGTAGCCGGCGGTGGACAGTGGATGTTCAATGAATTAAATTGAGACCAAAGAAGCAAAAAAATCTGAAAAAATATAATAAAACCCAAAATACATAACAGACAGTAACAACCGAAGGTGTACTCTGTAACTGAACTGTTCAGCGTTAACTCATAATTAGGTGCGATGTGCAGAATACAGATGAAAGTCGTGTTGATACGGCAGCAAAATCCAGCTATTTTTGTCGTGTTAACGATTCTTGGGCAGACAGAGAAAACAGTCCTTTCTCTTGTACCAGATAATACCGAAAATGATGAAAAATAGCACACCAAATGCGCAGCCGATGGCGATGCCAAAGATATCAGGACTGTTCAAGCCTGAAAATGTGCACAATAATCGTTAACATAAAGCGGATTATCGCAAGTGAAAAAGCCATCTCTGCACCAAGATCGCAGCAGAACATTAATAACAATTTTTTTATACCGATAGGATTTAGGACAATAATTAGTTTACATCAACCATAAGACCGTTGCGCCAAACTACAGCAGAGTCGACGGACCCATTAGTCGCAAGTCGCAACTTAAAATAATACTGAGCCTTTCTTCCCTTCATGCTGCGTCACATTTGTCGCACATGTGCATGCTGTGTCTGTGGTTGCACAATGTTAGTCTTTTATTTACTATCAACTCAAATCACAGTGGTCACGAACTTCGCTAACGGTGGCCACATTAGTACGGCATAATGCTCTCAATCCAGCAAAAAAAACGATTTTTTCAATACCGTTCATAGCACTGCAGCTTGCATCATACAAGCTTTGCCTGCGGGCTTTGAACAGAATCGCTCGTCAGTAGGCAGAATACGAGGTATGGGAACGCGTGGCCAAATCGCTTTAAACTGTACGAGGACGAGCTTAGTACATGTGATAGACAAAAAAACTAGCGAGAGAATCTGATAACCATGCCCGGCCCGTGCAACACGGGCAACCACCCAGGTTTGTCAGTGCTGGTAAACACATCACATTTAATACAAATAATCACCCCAGTAATACCGCACACTTTATTTCTTACAGTAAAACTTTGACTTTGTAGAACCACATGTGAAATTTCAGAGGACTCACTTTTTACCCATTCTGAAAGATTTTGCGGAGAACCAATTATAAACAAAGTTATAAAACCAAAACAAAACTCGCATTTAAATTTTAATACGAGTGTGCGTTACAGTAAATGGCAGGCCGTGTTCAGCTAACGGCTGCGTGACGGCGCGCGGCTACCGCCAGCCTAAGGTGGCTGACAGTGTTGCACAGCACGCAAATGGTTATCAGATTCTCTCGCTAGTTTTTTTGTCTATCACATGTACTAAGCTTGTCCTCGTATACGGAATACAGTGTGAGGGAAACTCATTATTATCCTGAATTGCTCATTGCGGGTTAATACGGTCTACGAGTAGAAACTATGCAAATCTCGTACCGCAAGCACCGAATCCAGTGGCTGGATTCCGATTGACGGTGTCGTAGTAGTCGCTGGGGCATGTCAGACGATCATCTTCTCTGCAGACGACATCAGATAGAACGGAAGCGCCCAGCGCTTTACACCATACTTCAATCGTGCCATAGTTATCTGCACAGAAAACAGCGATAGTAAATTGGTCGAATAATGTTGTTGACTGTTACCAAATTCAACCGGTTTTAAGCATGCAAAGTTGCAAACTCTAGCAAACTCTTTTTGCGTTAGAGGATATGACCTGCGGCAGATCATCTGCCGATGGTACCAGTTACGGACGCCCTACGCACCCACTAAAACTTTCGCTTTTGCGCGCTCCCAAACATTTTTTCACCTCCTTTATCTGTTTATTCTGCAGCCGATTAATTTGTGTACGTTGGCCTGCCCGTCACTTCTTCGAGCAGAATTCCATTTCTTACTTATGGCGATTGTGATGGTAAACAATTCTAAACTCATTTGGAAAGTTTAAATTACTGGGTAGAATGGTGAAACTGCAGTTTCATGTTACAAACAATCGAATCGGATGTAGCGAAGAAGCCTATACGTGGAAGCGTTATAAATGTCACGTTCTTGTTAGAAGAACAGCATACCGCTCAGTACGGTGTAGTCAATCTCCAGTTCGTAATGACTAGAGTTCGTTTCATGACGACTTCCATCGCCAACGTACAGAAATCTCAGCTGTGTCTTTTGTGAGGAGATCCGGGTTTTCAGCTGGGCCACGGAAGTGGGATACGAGTTGGCTGGACTTGGACCGCCGGGGATGATCTTCGCCGTAGTCCAATCCGTGCCGTTGTTCGTCCGGAGGATGTGCAGGGAGGCGCTTTCAGGGATGTTCGATTTCCTATGAACCCTTACCGGTTTATTTTGATCATTCTAAGTGAAGCTTCTTTAACCGCTCCTTCATCAAGCTAATGCCGGTTTCAAATACCATGGGGGCACATTTTGAAATGTATCTCGTACCGTCAGGGTTTCCCGGCACATTTCGCCGAAGACAACCGGTCGTATGACATTATTTTGATAGCAAACATTTCGCAGCAAATTCAAATCGCCGCGTGACGTTTCGGGATGTTTAGCCGCCGGAACATTACGCCTTAAGGCACTCCGTCCCGGGGTCATTTCGACGTCTATTAGACAAATAGTTTATGAGGCTTACAATACCTTCCAAAAAAATATAGCAAATTTAGAAAGCTCGGAAATGAATGCCTCAAGACCAATCGCGTTCGCGTTCCGGCATCTTGCGGTAAAATGTCGCGCGAATTTCAGTGCGGCGGAAAGTCGCACTGCCAAGTTCCGAAATATTAAATGTTCACGAGTAATCCGTAGTATTTTGGGAAATGTTTACCTTATCTTGCATCATCCCAGTATTCTGCTGCGTGAAACGTCTTCTTCGTTAATTTTTTATGCACTGGTTAATGAGCCCTCACATTCACTGCTGAGATGGTGAAATTGTTCCCAAAATGGCCCCCTTAGCCCAATGCCATGGCCACCGATGAAATCTTCTATGACTTTAGATAGAAAGCTTAAGCATGACTTCTACAGGTAAAGTTATGGTTTGACCTAACAAAGCATTTTCGAAACATTTTTGGTCTAAGGTCTTATTATTTTGTCACAAGAGAAGCGAGTGCTGACCTGATATTCATATACCACGTTGGCAGAACTCGGCAGTTAACAGCACTGATGTTCGTGGCGATGTGGACGGTGCAGTTGCCGGTCGGAAAAGTGCCGTAGCGCAGTGTCCCGGACGAGATGAAGTCTTTTTCATAGGGGCAGCCCAGCTCTACGGTCTGACCGCACTTACGGTCCATTTCAACTAAAAACACAACACCAATTTATGTGTAGATAACATTTACTCGGTAAAAGGCTGTAATATGTTTTACAATGAAAACGTTAATCGTTAGCAATTCCGTCTCATTTCACCATAATGCTCCAACCAGTTGAAAAACGGTTCACCCATGTGGAGCTGCATTCGTGCCAGACCTGGGCCGTCATGGAAAATTCACTTTAGGAGTTACAGGGAGCGTGCGAGTTACACTATCTAATATCCATGCAAGCAAATTGAGTTTTGAGTTACACCGCACCGCGAGTAATGCTGCACTACCATTTAAAGTACAAGCATTTTATTGATTTTATGAGCCCGACAACCGCGAAAAAGGAAAAGCGCTCTTACAGTTAGCAGCACGAAATGCAGCAGTCAGTCCGGCAGACAAAAAAACGGCAATGCCGGATATGGGATTTATTAAGCACTTCATGTTGCACACGAATTTCTGTGTGAGTGAACCAAGCAAATCAAAACAAAAACGCTGAAAATGAACTAGGCATTGAGGATTCGGGGGCATAGACGTTTCGCTTCCACCTTGGCTTGTTACAAGTGTATTTACTTGTAGGCTGGAAAAATTATTGTCCGAGCAACGATTGACTATTTAAAAATGAAGCGTTATTTATTCTTCGAATAATTGCCGCATTTACAGTAGCCTGCCATTATCAACCAGTTAAATCAATAAAATGAAACAGTAAAGCAATTTCTGTATTACTCACGACGCTCATCAGAAGAACGTTTGTGAATGCCGCTGTAGGCAATAGCCCGGTATGATTGAGTAGCGAGGCTAAGCGATCGAGGAAACCGAAGATCACCAACGTTCGCAGTCAGGTAATATCAACCTCAGCTAATAACTTAACTGGCTGAAAATGTACGACAAAGATGCGCTCGTGCAACGTCGGTAGATAACGGCCTAATCTAGCTTGTGGCGGTGGCGGCCTGTCTGAAGTTTTCTTCCTAATGTTTACTTTGTCGCTTGGCTCGGTATTCACACAATCGAGAATTGTGGACTACTACAATGCCCATTTAAATACCAAAGTAAACATTTTTACTGCGAAGTAAACAATAGAATTTCACTGGTTGTTTTGATTCCAAGTGCCGAACTTCATTCCAATAGTCACCCTTGGAATAAGAATTTAAAAATTCACGCTGATTGCCGGCAACGATAACAAAATTTGCATGGGCACGTAGCCTCCACGATTCTGTTCGTGAATATTATCCCTCGTTAAAAATGTTCACACCGTAAACGGTGAACATCCGAACAATCTTGCCGGCTACATGTGTTTGCATAGAAGCCAGACTTGTTTGATCGGCGAAAATGATTCTCAAAGGCAAACGGCTTCTCTGAGACTTAAGCCGTGTGGCCCCTGCTGAAGTTTCTCAACAATTAAAAAGAAAATAGACAGAGCAACTACAGTACTGCGGCTTCAGTTTAACTTATTTTGGTTTGAGGGACTTCATTGCCGCAGTGTTTCATTAGGCCCTGTAGAACATTAATATCCTAAAATAATACTCAATTAGATATCCCGCTATTGTCAAAGTGTGCAAAAAGAAACCCGGCATGGTTCATACCATTGTCGGCGCGCAATGGCATGTACAGACTGTACCTCTTCGAACAAAGGTGGTCTTACTGGAGGAGTAAACGAACAGCCAGTCGACACATCATTACCTGTGGCAGCAATAACTTTACCAAAACAGCCAGCTTTAGCATTTGCCCTTATAATAGCTGCGCTCCTGTCTACTAGTGCTCTGTTTGGTGCACTTTTCTCGCATGGTAGGACCTTTAAGCGTAGTTTGATTTGTATGCAACGTTCTGCTGTGTAGATTAATTACTGTCGAAATCAAATTCAAACAGACGTGTACTGGGATATAATTCACCAAAAACTGAGTCATTGTTGTACAAGAAAATTCCATCATCCCTGCCATGGAATTTCCTTGTACAACAATGACCAAGTTTTTGGCGAAATATACTACAGACGGTAAGTAAATCTGCTTGCAGGTAAATTAGCCAGCCTTTTGATGTTAATAATATAGTAGGAATTCTATCATAGCGAAGATGTTTTGGTTTGGACTTTGGAGGCTTCGTTTGAACTTCAGAGCAGTTGGTGCATATGCACCACAACAAACTGAACAAAGTGATTATTATGACATCCAACACGAAATCGAGAAATCGTCGTAGTTATTCAAAAGCGTTACTACGAGTATTGTTCCGAAGTGGCCATTGACCGCTTTTTGCTCATCTCCATGCCTTCAGTCTGCCCTTCTGGGTTTTCACTGGAGGACTTTGTGGGGAAGCAGAGGGACCAGACTGGACGAGCCACCAGTGTAATAAACCGGCGCCGATAGTGACTTTCGCTTAACAAATAGACGTAGAAATTCAACGAATATCCCATGTACATTGTTACAACGATAATTGGCTCCATGAGGTCATTCAAGCTACCATCATTGACGTATATAAAGTCGACGTCATACGGTAGAGCCGAAGCACACAAGTCGAAAAACTTGGGGGCACGCGTGATGAGGTAAAGCAGTGCACTGCTCAGCAGGATGATGTTGATTGCGTGCTGGGATGACCCGGACGAGGTTTTGCTGGCAGACGTTGCCACGGATGTTTCACTGTTAGCCTCCTGTAATCGACGCATGGCACCCAAATCGGATCGTCGTTGGCGAGAAATTAGAAGGATCAGCATTGCACTCGGAATAAGGATCAACAAAAACGTCAGCATGCGCATAACAATCTGCAAAAATATTAGATATGGTGAATTTACACACACTTTGGTAAGAAATAAGTTTTCGGTTGACTAGAGTAGCAGTTAATTCGTCTGATCTGCATAAGCTTTTATTTCGATTTACTTGAAAACATTCAGAAGGTTAATATTTTGGATTAAGGCTTCTGTCGCCGGCAAAAATTTTAACATGTTAAGGTTTAACGAGAAAAATTTTTTTTCTCGAGGTTTAACGAGAAATAAATATATTTTTTTCTGAAATGGATTTTTATCAATTGCAAAAACAATACAACAACACAACAAAAACAGTGCAACGACTGTAATCGTTGACACCAATCGCTTCACACGTAAAACTGTAAACATTCACATTCTGGCAGTACCACGCGAACTAGTATAATCCGTTAACCGCTAACATTCACATAGCCAAGTTGCTAACAGCTGTCCTTTCCTTGCTTTAGACTACCACATTCTTCTTACTAATCCGAGTCTGTTAATGCGGCGCCACTCATTGACCCACCACGGATCGGGAATAATGACAGGGCTCGTGAAGTCATGGGTGTACAGAAAGTAATACTGGACAAACTCGAATGAATAGCAGGCCAACGATAGAACCAGGAGAACGACAATCAGCACACGCGCCGTCACAACCCGCTGCAGGAATCCAAATCGATAAACGCTCAGACACACAAGCAGTCGTTCCCAGGAGAACACAACCAAAATCCTAAAAAGTAGTCGTATTCATGGCACACGATGGTAATTGGTATTTTCGCAAACCTTACCAATCGGATAAACACATTGTGGCCTCGGAGAACCACGGAATAATGAGGTTGTCAAACCGGTTGCCGAAGTTCCCGTTTATTCTTTCGTCCGACCAAAACATCCATAAACCGAGCCATCTGAAAAATAACTTGTGTATACCATTTACTTTTATCATTTCATGGAATTTACTGTGGTAAGCCGAAATTAATTAATTTTATGTATTTTAAATTCTTTTCGCTCCTGTCCGAGATCATCGCGTAATGGGCAGCCAAAAAAAGCGGCTTTCATTAACGCGACAAAGCATCGGTTGCGCCAGGAAATGCGGCACCGATGCGCGCGTGTGAGCGCTATGAATGATATTAATTCGCTCATTTTCTTTTTTTTTAGCTTTAATTTGTTTAAAGCAGACCTTCACACATTTTGAGAGTATGGGGGTTGGAATTAAACCGTCATCTTTTTTTGTAAGTAAAGCGCCGATAAGGATTTGTCAAGCCAACCTCAAATTCGAGTTTTAAAGCGTTATTAGAATGCTTAAAGTTTAGAAACCCTCTGTGGTACTTAAAAGATACAGAACATCCATAAGTAGAACCGTAGATGTATGTTCGCCGCACGATACGAGCTGAGACATCAGAACACTATTAAAAGTGTTGGCTCCTCCTTTTTCAATGAGAGAGAACTACAAAATTTCCATAAATTTCGTTCCCGATGGTGGCGATGCCAGATATCTTGAAAGTGTCTTCCTCCTGGCGTCCATAATAACGCAAAACTGGAATACTGTGAATGTCTTTTATCTGTTAACTTACAGCGCAAGCAGATCTGCCACTGCCGCGCCGATCATATAATGGCAGGCGGATGTTTTCCAGGTGGGCGCACTGCGGATTAACACCACTAGATTAAGTCCATTGCCCACGGTGCACAGAATCAACAGGCAAAAGAACACAGCGCGACAAGCCTGATACGCCTCGCGAACTTGCTCTTCGGTGTACAATGATCCCAGAGGATACCATGGGGCGGGAGTCGGATTATCGGTTGAGTTATGCTCAAAATAGCCTTCGCTGGTCACGCTTACATTAGTATTATTAATCACTCCAAACACTGAAGTTGTCAAAGAAAGTGCGATTGCAAAAGTGTCCATGACAGAACCTGTCAGCGCGTTATTCCTTAAGTTCAGACAACCGTGGAGAGTATTGAAAGAAGATTGTTTAATTTTTATTCTATGGTGGCGAGGGTAGCCATTTATAAGTTAGAGTACTGTGTTAGTTTTGTCAATATTGACACAATGGCTGAGACAATAACTGGCATAATCGAGTCACTTTAAAAATAAATATGGGTAAGATTGTGTTGTCGAACATTTGTGCCTTTGCTCTCATTAGTCAATACTGATAAGTAGAATCCCTTGTTCTTTGCGGTGTCAACGCACAATTCGTAAGTACAAAAGCTGTATTATGTACGATGGTTGCAGTATTTGTAAATTTGTGCGCAGTAAAAACAAAGCCGGCATAACGTAATTAAGGCACGTTCACAGTAGAAATATGCGGTATCAAATTTTATTAAAAATGTTAGAGAACGTGGATCAGAGTGAAAGAATCGAAAGCTGTGCGCCTCGACATAAAAAAACTTGCTCACAGATGCACAAGAGAATATTGTGTTTTCTTTCTGGTTTGGGAAAACAAACTTTTACCTGGTCTCCTATTTAGAAAAACCTTGAAACTATGAAACACTAATAATAAACTTAGTTGGTCATTCACCACAAAAGTTGAGAGTAAAACAACAATGTACGAGTATTACAAGAAAACTGCTTGAAACAAAATTAACCAACTTCAGAAAATTCAGTTTAAATGTCGTGGCGTTACTATCGCTCCAACGTTTGCACACCGAAAGCAAGAATCAGGTTTTTAAAAGAAATGCTAAAGCCTTTACGATTCCTTTAACTGCTGCAAACCATACATACTGATTTATTTTAATTTAAACTTCTTATTTCAAAAGTGACCGATGGAACGCTCTCCGGCACTGACCGACTTGAATTCGTTTCATCATGCCGCAGTCAGAAAGTGGTCTTCGATAATATTAAAATGAGCATGGTACAGTGACAGACTTACAGCTCCACAGTAAACGGTAAAGTCAATACTACGAAGAAAACTTTGCCATGCGCTACCACCACAATTGTGCCGTTTGATTGCGGCACTGTTTGCCAGGCGCTACCACCACAATTGTGCCGTTTGATTGCGGCACTGTACAAACGTACATTTATCGTAGTCCTAAACTCATAATTATTATATTAAGCAAGCAAACATCGCGTACAGATAGCCCAAGTGGCGTTAATCACACTGCCAGGCTGATGTACAAATAATAATCTAGTTATATCACGGTCCATGTACTTTCTTGTCCACGTACAAGCTATGTTGGGCGGTTTAAAACACGGCCCCAGGCCCGAAACTGCAGCCTTTGAGTGTCCCTGTATACCATGCCGAGCGTAAAACGCAAGCAAACCGAAAAAAATGAAGCGGCAACAAAGCTGTCTGCAGCGGCTCCCTGTACCTCTCTTGTGCTGCCGATCTCAGAACCCAACAAACTGGAGAGAATGTCCAAGTTAGGACATTAGTGGTTCACTGGTTCTGAACCTACAGAACCACTGTAGAATCACCAGCTAACCATGTTAGCGCTTACTTGTGCCACACAACCACTTTACCTCGTGAACCAGGTGAACCTATAGAACCACATTGAACCACCAGCGAACCAGCAGTGAACCACGTACACAGTCACTTGCAGACACACTGTCGCACTACCACTCTACCCCGTGAACCTATAGAACCACATGGAACCACCAGTGAACCAGCAGTGAACCACGTACACAGTCACTTGCAGACACACTGTCACATTGCCACTCTACCCCGTGAACCAGGTGAACCTATAGAACCACATAGACCCATTAGTGAACCAGCAGTGAACCACGTATCATTTGCCGACACTCTGTCACACTACCACTCTGCCCTGTGAACCAGGTGAACCTATAGAACCACATAGAACCATCAGTGAACCGGCAGTGAACCACGTACACAGTCACTTGCAGACACACTGTCACATTGCCACTCTACCCCGTGAACCAGGTGAACCTATAGAACCACATAGAACCATCAGTGAACCAGCAGTGAACCACGTACACAGTCACTTGCAGACACACTGTCAAATTGCCACTCTACCCCGTGAACCAGGTGAACCTATAGAACCACATAGACCCATTAGTGAACCAGCAGTGAACCACGTATCATTTGCCGACACTCTGTCACACTACCACTCTACCCCGTGAACCAGGTGAACCTATAGAACCACATAGAACCATCAGTGAACCGGCAGTGAACCACGTACACAGTCACTTGCAGACACACTGTCACATTGCCACTCTACCCCGTGAACCAGGTGAACCTATAGAACCACATAGAACCATCAGTGAACCAGCAGTGAACCACATACACAGTCACTTGCAGACACACAGTCACACTACCACTCTACCCCGTGAACCAGGTGAACCTATAGAACCACATAGAACCACCATTGAACCGGCAGTGAACCACATACACAGTCACTTGCCGACACACTGCCACCCTACCAGTCTACCCCGTGAACCAGATAAACCTATAGAACCACATAGAACCATCAGTGAACCAGCAGTGAACCACATACACAGTCACTTGCCGACACACTGCCACCCCAGTCTACCCCGCAGTGAACCAGCAGTGAACCAGTCTAGAACCACATAACCACCTATAGTGAACCAGCAGTGAACCACATACACAGTCACTTGCCGACACACTGCCACCCTACCAGTCTACCCCGTGAACCAGATAAACCTATACAACCACATAGAACCAGCAGTGAACCACATACACAGTCACTTGCCGACACACTGCCACCCTATCTACCCGTGAACCAGATCCTATACAACCGTGAACCAGACCACATACAGTGACACACAGAACCAGATGAACCAGCAGTGAACCACATACACAGTCACTTGCCGACAAGGAGAATAACAACCGTTACAAAAATACGTTAGGCACGGGCAAAGAAACCAAGAAATACAAACTCTTTTCTTCCAGAATATGCATTATGCGTTGCCGTATGTTCTATTTCTAATTTTTTGCACCTTGAAGGCTTGAGTGTGCCAGTCTTAAAATTAGTCAACGGCGCATTTAGACGGGTGCCGGCAAAGACAAAAGCGTCCGATAACAACAAAATATTTTCTATCAATTCTAAAACGGGTCGCCGTAGATCGGTGATGTGCTAGACGAATTTTACTGACACTTGCACAGGCAGGGTATCAGTTTGGCGCATAAGGTCTGTTGAAAACGCTCAATACGAAATCTTTTTGAGTTACGAGTCATTTCTTCCAAGCTGTCATTTATTCCTCAAAAACCTCTTTCTTTTGAATAAAGTTTTGTTTAAAAACAGTCAATTCTTTTAGACTTCCCGTGCGTGACGCAGTTGGAGTGCCCGGTATGGCACCGTGATTTGGCTAACATTTAGGAGGCTAACATTTTATTTTAAGACTAACCACCCGAGATTGTCTATGAACAAATTCTGAAGTTTATTTACAGCGCTTGACAGCCAACTTGAGGCAGTTTTGTGAAATAAATTCTAAATATTTCCATACATGGGTTGTGCTTGTGTTTTTGGACTTTTTCAGTATCACCTTTCATCGCAAATTCGCAGTATTAAAAGTGAAATCTTTTAGCATGCTTGTATGGAGCTAGGGGGCTTTTAAGCGATTGGGATAGTGCCCATCTTCAGGAACCTTATCAATGCACCTTCCACGAATTCTCCAGTTAATATTTTTCTGTAGATGTTTTTGGAACCGTTAAATTACCCAGAACTCTATGTTAGGGGTAAGCAGAAGATCCTTGCGCGAGCAAAGATTAGGTGTGCTCGAAACCAAATTTAGTAAACTTAGATGGTAAACCGCGCTAGTAATTTGCCCGTCTTTTCTTTAAATATTTTTGAAGTATTCTCGACAGAATATAAATATTTCTTAATAGGGTGCGGCTATTCCGAAAACTCCGCACCATCTTTTGGCGGTTCGCACTGCTTTTCAAAAATGTCCTAAAACTACCTTTTGGTTATTGCCACCATCCTCGCACACCTCTTTTAGCTATTCGCTCCTCTTTATTGCAATTATTACAAAATGTGTTGCTTTCATCAAAACGGCTTCGTTTACAGATTTTTATAGCTCTGCCATTAGCGGCTCTCTTTCTTTAAGAGATTGGGTCCGCCACCGGCCGGAAAATTATCAAGCCGCATTTTCTTTGTGCTGCAACTTTTCGCCAAATGTCATCTTATGACTTGCTTGTAAGAGCGTAAAAAAAAATGCTAAAGATAAAATGCTAATAAACAAAATTAACGCTAATATTAATTCAAAATCCTTAAAATTAAATTTGGTGTCACATACAATTAAGTATGGGAATACATCGTATGGCTTTTCCCACCAATTCGCGACGCCTTGTGGCTGTTCTCACGAACTCCGCTTTTTGGCTATCCGCACTATTTTTCCAAAACGAATTCTAGCACCACCTCTCTTGACTATTGCCGTCGCCTTCGTAAACGACTTTTGGCTGTTCTCACCTATTTGGTGCATTTTTTACACAGCTATTCAAGTAGTTGTTTATACATAAAAGACCTGGTGACATTGTCAAAGGTTCACCATTAGCGGGCCTTTTTTTAGATTTGGCCACCGGCGGTCGGAAAAGTACCTCTGCGCGTTTTCTACGTGCTGCAACTGTTCCCCAAATGTTCCTGCATTTTTTGTTGCTGAAGTTTGCTTCCTGCGGAAGCCGTTTATTAGTTACAGCCCTGCTCCGCCAAGTTGTGGCAGTTTTTTTCAAAAAATTAGCACAGGTCAGCCGTCGTAAAATGCTTCGTTATTTAATTTTTTCTTAGTTGCCGTGTGTATCCGACACCTTTTTCACTTGAAGATTCTACGCTGTGCCCGCTTTCCTAATAATCGTGAGGTCAAAATTAGGGTAGACGTATACACCAGTGGAAAAAAGCGTCTCGACCCGCTCAGCATGGTAGCAGTAGTCCTGTTTGAAATTTGCTAACAGATTCTGGTGACGTTGTTGTCCAAAAGTAGTAACGTTGGGCTGTTGGTTATTTATTGCTCTTGCGAAAAGTACCATACTTTAACCGATTTCGGCCAAGCCTGGGTGACCTTTGCAGTGTGACTGCAAGCACCTTTAAATCGGGGGGTGACCTCGTTTGC